AAAAAAAATGAACCTGCAATTTCTTGCTCCAAAGACTTTAGTGATAGAACCTTTGCTAATGGTCCAGTGTGTGTGAAGTTGTATATTTTATATCTGAAGTGTGATTAAAATGGAGTTAGAGGATCTAAGTCCCTCTTCCATCCCTTCCCAAAGACCTTTATTCCATCTGTGCTCAGAATCCCTTTTTTTTTTTTGAGGAACTGAGGATTGAACTCAGGCCCTTACACTTGCCAGGGAAGCGCTTATTCCGCTGAGCCATCTCCCTGGCCCCTCAGAATCCCTTTTTTAAGCTGTTACAAGTCATGGAGAAGAGGAGTGAATTGAAAAAGGCTATAAAACACTCAGCCTGGACCATCATGACTACTCCCTGTCCTTAAGGAGCCAATTGCAGGGCCGGGGAGATGGCTCAGTAGAATAAGCACTCCCCTGGCAAGCACAAGGGTCTGAGTTCAATCTCTGGCTGGGGGTGGGAGTGGAAGGAGCCAATTGCAGGTGCAAACTCACCTCCAGAGGCAGCCTTTCCGAGTGTAAGAACAAGTGTCACAGCGATAGGGCTGTGGGTCAGATCATATTCCCTATTCCTCTAACAAGAGTAAGTTCAGGTGACTTGGACCCTTGTCCTAGCACAGACCAAGCCCAACAGTCCTTGGCAGAGAACAGCAATAGGCTGGCCCTTCACCAAAGGACTAGGAGAATTGGCTAAGTAGGAGGAGGAATGCTATGGCAGAGGGTAGAACAACAGAAGGGATGGGCAACCTGGGGCTGGCCAATCTGGCCCGACGGGGCAACCTGAGGAGTCCTGGACACAGGCCCAGCAAAAAGCCTCCCCTCCCCCTCCCAGGCAGCAAGATACCAGAATGGATTTGAGACATGTGTGCCCTGTGTGTCTAGTGTGGGCTCCCCTGGTCTTGGCAGTGAATTTGGATTAGAATCAAACCCTGAGTCTGAAATACGAGCAGAAAGAAAATTGTGATCCTCATGTCTAATCCTGAAACAGTACTGAGTCTCTATATTACCTACAGGCACATGTATGTGCTGCTGACATACAGCCATATGCCTGGTCAGTTATTAGGATCTGCTGCAAAGGCATGACTGCGTGATTCGCAGGCTTGAGGAGGTGTGCACAAATGTGTCAGCGTGTGTTTTGTAGGTGATTGTGTGATGAGACAGATCTGTGCACACACTTGTGCGGTGGGGGAGTGTGTAGCAAGGGATGGAGATGGGCTTCCTGAGTAGCAGAAAAGCGACCATCTAGCTTATAATGGGCACTTAATGAATACAGAATGAATAAAGAATTAATATTGAAAAGTAAATGAATGCATGTTTACATAACAGAGAGAGGGAAAGGCCTGAGAACTTAATGAGATTTGGGCATTTGTGGACCCTCTTTCTTGAAAGGCAGAGTGGGATTAGGGAGCATGAAAGATATCCTGCCATTCACACTAGAACTCACCACCCACAAAGGGATTTATTTCCATACAAAGAAAGTAGAAAAGAAAAGGAGGCCCTATACTGCCTTCATCAACCTTCTAGCGCCCAGGGTCCCAAGAATTGAAGCTCTTCAACAAGAAAGAAAAAAAAAAATTATAGCCACTCTACATGTTACGTATTTCCCACATTTGTTTGGTTCCAGAAAGGAGTTAATGAAGTAAAATGAAATATCATTTAAAAAAAAGATAAGAAAATGAAGTAGAGGAAAAGCCAATGTGGAAGAGGGACACAGAGTAGGAAGGCAGATTTCTTTACTAGAGTTGATTTTGATGCATCTATAATGCAGAATCAGAGACTCCTTAACGTTAAGGATTTTTCCCACCTCAGAAGCTGCCAGATTATTCCAGGTACTGATTCCAAGGACATATTTCCTACAGAGTCCCTGTGTGTTGCTGGAAACATTTCTTCATTTATATCAAGGCAAAAAAGAAAAAAAAAAGAAAAGAAAAAAGAAAGAAAGAAAAAGAAAAAAGAAAAAAAAAAGTTCTCCAGAAGCATTGAGCAGGGAGCAGGAATTAGCCCTATTCCTCTGACGAATGGTTTGCCAAGTAGTTACCACAATTGTCATATCCTTTGGCCCAGATTTGCGTTCATAGAACTTGATGCCCGAGACGGGTTCACCCTTCTGTAGTGGAAGTTGTTGATTTTAATAAATTGATAAAAACAAAGGTTGGAAACTGGATAGGTGAGCGAATGACTGCTGGGTCTCCCTTACAGTGGAGTCCTGGACTGTGTTGGACGAGAACTGATTCTCTGTTTAGACATAGTGAAATCTCTCAGATTTCTAGGTGAAAAATAGTATATTGCAAAACACTGTGTATGCTTGCATATGCATTTTTTTCTGAAAAAAAATCGAAAAATTTTACATGTGTCTACCTCAGGACGTAGGAATGAAGGTGAGTGGAACAAAGAGGGACATTTATTTTTAAACTTATACACTTTTGTGAATATAAACATATAAAGTGTAACTTGAAGAAATAGACGCTTTTGTACTTTCCCCCCACTTAAAAAATTAACAAAATATTTTTTAGAAATGTTAAAATAGGCGTGAACCGTACATAACAGCTTATTGAATGTTCCTAACGCTGTATGTCCTTTGACTCAGTTTCCTTCCATTGGAAATTTACAGATTAGGAAAGTGTAAATGGCAAAGGGCGCGTTCGAACTCGCAGACTACAGAATCTCAGCACCCTCGCGGTCCTGCCTCCTCGTCACCGTCCGACCTCCGCCTCCAGGCAGGCAGCCCACCCGGGGACGTCCGGCCGCACTCTGCGCACAGTCCCTATCCGGCGCACCCGCGGCCCAGCGCGCACCGGGTGCCACGCTCGGGGAGCGCGCGCACGTAGCGGCGGCGGCGGCGACGTCACAGCCCGAGCTTTCCTTTTCGGGAGTCCCCGGCACACATCCTGTGTCCATGTTTGGGCATTTACGTCACAGCGGCAGGGCCGGGGCCTCCCAAAATGGCAGTGGCCCGGGGAGTCGGAAGCCCGAAGCCAGCGCCGCCGCAGCTATATAAGGGGGGGGGCCGTGGGCTGGGGGAGTCGGACTGCGCGGCGCAGAGGCGAGGAGCCGCCGCCCGAGGACGGCACACGCGAGCGAGGGCGCCGCGGGCCCCCGGCCCTCTGCCAGGAGGCGAACGCT